TATACATTTCTTCGAGCTGATGTTCTGCCTTTCTTCTTAAGCCGATGTTTGTCATACAGAGTATAACGAGAAGTCGGCTCCTTACCAGGTAGGTATTATTCGACTATTTTGATTGCTTATGCTACGAGTAGTGAGTGTATTTGTGTAAGAGTTTTGTCTGAATTTAATTTTGTCATATTTCCCCTGAAAAGGCTATGAAAAAAACAGGGTTTTGAAGATGTGCGTTTGTGTTGTTAGTTTTTGGTCGAGTGTTGGCTTTCGATCGGTGTCCCAGCGGCCGATTCAGCGTGTAGTCCGCCGACCGACCAGATCACTTAGGTATCAGGCCGGCAGTGATGCCAACTTGGGGGATTTTCCCCTAAATTTAGGGATATTTTGAAAATGGTGGGAAAGTTTTGGGGGATAAATTTTTTTAGGGTATTAATTTGGGGATTTTCAATCTATCAGAATATAATATATTTTTATATAAAAAACTAATAAATAATAACAATTTCTCAACGTTAAATTAAGATAAGCAAAGTTAAATTAAGAAAAGCAAAGTTAGAGGTCTCGGGATTTATACCTATACATTTCAAACTCAAAGATGTACTTTACTTAGATTTACGTCACTAGATTTACGCACCTACAGTTCATCAAATTTCTAGAGGCTTTCGACGGCTAGACAGAGAAAGCACTACTGACAGGCATCCCGACGGATTTACGCAATGAAAGTACACTCTGCGCATCAAGTATTTCACTATTTCATTCAGACGTAAATGTCAGATGTAAATTTCGCTAAAACATTTCTTTTATTTTCGTTTGTGTTTTTTGCTCATTACAGTTTAATAGAACCTAAGTATGGAGTTTAATAGCAAATTAAGAGGCCGCGTGATTAACAGTCAATCTCGCGAAATAATAGCCAATGTTATAGAGTTTATGAGAAGAGAAGGAAACTTTAATTCACCTTCAATACCATTTAAAAATGTAAATGATCGTGTTGCTGCAGCCACAGGAGTATCTAAAAACACTGTCGTCCGCATTTCTGGAGAGAAAAAAAGAATCGATAACCGTGAGATATAGGAATTTTCATCACCAAGAAAAACCATTAAAAAACCAAAAACAGTTAATGATATAGATGAAGCTGCACAAGAATCAAATTTTATTTTTTTATTATTAGATAGCTATTTTTGTTTCTGAGTTGTGTTCATTTACAGGCTCAATTTTTTTCCGTTTCTCCTTTTTGATTTTATATGGGGTTTCAAGTTGTTTTTGACTTATTTCGACGTAAATCACAACAACACACTTTTTTAATAAAGCAAACAAGTGTTAAGAGGTATATGTACGTGTAAACTACAATTACAAAAAATTGATATGAAACCCATGAAACCACCAACAAAAATGTAAAGCTAGCTTCCGTACTAGAACATGGTGTCATTCGTCGAGATAATTTATCGTTTTGTTTAATAGATCAAGAAATGTAAATATTCCCCTGTTATTTTTTATAAAATTATAAGAGAAATAAATTTTTTTCTAAATAGTATAGTTTATTATTTTGTAGAAAAACAAAATTTCGAAAATTTTAGTAATGTTTCAGAAACAACTGTTATTAATAATAGGTACCATTTTCCTTAATAAGGTAGAAATAAAATATAAACTATTTCCACGATTTACAAAGGCCTACAAAAAAATTATAGGTATTTTCCGCTATCCTATAAAATTTATATTTTCTAACTCAATTTCAAAAGGTTGAAGGAATTCCAAAACACCTTTTATGGCATAATAATTATTTTCAATTCTACATACTATCTTTAGCTGCTTTTAAAAACGTTCTAAGAAAGTCCAATCAGACCAATTTAATCCCTAAACTATTCCACACTTTTAAAATTTAATTACCTAAAAATTTTAAAAACTATTTAAAATAACTTGTTTAGCAGACTGTACAATAGCTATCTTAGTCACACGTAGCGCGTTCTCTGTCTGGGCGTCGAACACCTCTAGAAATTTGATGAACTGTATATTATAGTCTATGATACTCAGTGGATTTTGACATTTAAATGTTGACAATTGACAAGTTCTTAGTTTAGTAGGAATCAAGTTTTACATTTTAAATATTTATTGCGGATTCATTATAATACAATTAGTTGATATGAATAATAAAGAAAAAAAATACTTTCAAAAATATTCAAAGCAATGGGAAAAAGATGAAAAGTTGAAAGGTTAGTTTTTTATATTTTAAAAGCATTTTTTATAAACTTGAATATGTACTGTTTAGGTACATTTTTGAAAAGTTCTTTTTATTAAAAACACTTATTTTTAATATTGTTTTAGATTGGTTATCTCCTGATCCTACCGGTGATTGTAAAAAAACATTTTGTAAATATTGTCGTAGTATTTTGGTAGCACATAAAAAAGATTTAGTCAAGCATGCTTCATCAACCAAACATACAAATGCTGTTGAAAAAGATAAACAAGCAAAATTATGTCGTCCATTGGAAGTAAAAAAACCTCCAAATACTAAAGTTAAGGTTGCTGAACTTCAACTTGCTGTATTCATAGCAGAACACACATCAATTACTACAGTTGATCACTTGACGGAATTATTGAAAAAAATGGACCCGGATTCAACTGTTTTTAGTAACATGAAATTACATCGGACGAAATGTGCAGCGCTTATTAAAAATATTTTAGGTCCATGTATGCTTGAAGACTTGGTAAATGATATGAAGGAGTCTCCCTACTCACTAATTATTGATGAAAGCACCGATGTATCCACTGAAAAAGTTTTATGCATAATGATACGATATTTTTCTTTTAAAAAGAAAAAATTATTGACAACATTTTATCGTCTTGTGAAAATAGTTGATGCTACTGCTACTGGTATTCATTCGGCTTTAAAACTACAATTAGCAGCTGATGGAATTCCGTTGAAAAATTTAGTCGGTATTGGAGTCGATGGTGCAAATGTGATGGTCGGTGTAAATCTCATTCTGTTTCATCGCTCTTAAAAGAGGAAGTCCCTGATATTATCATCATCAAATGCATCTGTCACTCTTTACATTTATGTGCTGAAAACGCTGCAGAAACACTACCTCGTCAACTAGAGTACCTAGTTAGAGAAGCTCATAATTGGTTTTCCAACAGTCCAAAGCGTAAGGATGAATATAAAAAACTTTACAATGTTATGAATGCTGGTGATGCTAACAAGGATCCGAAAAAAATTGCCGGTCTGAGCGGGACTCGATGGCTTGCAAGATATTCCGCAATTAATACTATTCTAGAACAATGGGATGAATTAAAATTACTATTTGAACTAGCTAAAAACAATGACAAATGTTTACAAGCACAGTACATTTATGATATAATGGTTTGTCCAGCGTATAAACTATTCATGGTTTTTTTGCATTCTAATTTAGAATTGTTAACTAATTTGAATAAGCTGTTCCAAAGTAGTAATATTGAAATATTTAAACTACTGGAAGACTTATTTTTTTTATACAAAAGTATTCTTCAGAAAATTGTGGTTCCATCTCAACTCCAAAAAGTAAAAGATGATGATTTAGTTACTTTTAAGTTTCAAAACTATCTAATGCATACATCATCAATTTTTTTCGGATATAACTTCGATCAAGCAGCTAAATCCGTACCATCAAATGAAATATCTAATATTCGAGACCGCTGCAAAGAATTTTTAGTAAAACTATGTACTGAAATTCAAGTACGATTACCTGATAACATTTCAATACTAAAATCGATGGCTGTCTTAACACCGTTTTATGCTACGTCACAAATAAAGCCGGATATATCTAAACTATTAGAACCATTTACTAGAGAGTCACTGTATCGATCAAAAGATAATATTATCAAAGAATGGAACATGTTATCTAATAAGCAATGGGAAAATACAAATGAAACAGTTTTATTTTGGTCAGATGTTTACGACGATCGTGATTCAGGCGGTAATAGAAGATTTGAAAATGTTGCCAAATTCGCTTTAGCTCTGTTGACTACTCCTATATCAAATGCTGTTGTCGAGAGAGCGTTTTCAATTTATGGTGTGGTAAAGAACAAATTAAGAAACAAGTTAGCATTAGACATGGTTCAGAGTATTATGATGGTTAAGTTTTCATTACAACGAGATTATGAACAGTGTACTTTATTTGTGCCTACTCAAGAAATGTTGAGCAGATTTACTGTGCACATGTATGACTTTAAAAAAAACGATAGTGAAAAAGTAAGTGATCTGGAGTTCCAAGAATTGCTTACTATCACAAATGCAATATAGTTCAATCAAATATGTGATTTTATATAATAAGAAAAAATTTATGTTTGTTGATTTATTATTAAATATACTAGTAGCTTATTTATTAGTAAATATCAATTAATAATATTATTTAATAATATTTATTAATAAACATTATATGAAATAAAATATATATTAAAAAACGTTTAAAAAAAAGACTCAAAATACTTTATTTTCTATTTTAAAACCTTTTAAAAAATAAAAACTATTAAAAAAAAAATTCTAACTAATTTTCAAATAACTTCAATTTTAGCTTTAGGGGGTTTTGTTTTAAATTTAGGGACTTTTGTTAAAAGCTTTAGGGGAAAGTTTTTTCAAGAGTTGGGGACACTGCAGGCCGGTGTGAATTGTTGTTAGTATGAAAGTCGCAGTCATGGGAGGTATTAATATATTTGTCTGTAAAAATTCAGTCTCGCGTGGATGCATCCGTGCTTTCTACGCACGCTGTCTCCTCTATAAATTTTCATTTGTTATCTATTCCGCTTTTCCCTATTTTCTCGAGAAGAGTAATTACTACATGCAAATAGAGTAGTATACAGTAAGGACGGAAATTGTGCCCCCTCTTAACTTCTAAATGGAATAAGATAGAGACATGAAAATAAAACGAGGCGGGGGGTATGGGGAGAGGGGCATGACCCCATGCCCCCCCCCCCGGAGTTCAGTTTTTGAATAATTTTACTTACAATGTTAACTTTACGTACTTTTCGTATTTTTTTTTTAGTATGTGGAGTAAAACATGTCTCTGCCGAGCCTCTGATCCTTAATGGAGTCAACTCAGATAGAGGCAATTACCCTTGGGTGACTGCCATTTACAGAAAAATTTCTGGAAGTTTTCAGAACGTCTGTGCAGGTTCCATGTTAACCCAAAGAGTTATTATTACAGGTAAATCATTAGCAATACAGTTTACGATACAACTATAATTGTATTTTAATTTTAGCTGCTGAATGCGTATCCAATGAAAATGGCGAAGTATTACCCTCAGAAGAATTCAAAATTGCAGTGGGAAAGTATTACAATGATTATAATGATCCAAAAGATACACAAGCCCAATTCTCAGACGTAAGTTTTGTCAAATTAATTATTAAAACCTTAGGCACCTTTGTTTATTAATATTAAAAGCATCTACTGGCTCCACTTTTGTATTGGCTAATTTTATTAAACTTTTTATTGTCATAGTAATCGTTTAGGTATTTTAAATCATATATAAATCATATCATAGCGGAATATTAGAAATTAAAAATGTAAAAAAACCGACTTCAAAAACGTGCAGATGCCATCACATCTTAACCAAATTTATATGGGACCACCCCTGAGGTACCCCCTTACTAACAAAAAAAGAATCGGACAAGGTGGTAAAGCATTATCACTAAACATACATAAAAAATGAAGAGTTTGAGGATTTTCTCATGGACCCAATTATTAGATTTTGACCAAATTTATATGGGACCACTCCTAAAGTAGCCCCTTTCTAACAAAAAAAGAATTATTGAAATCGGCCACGGTGTTAAAGAATTATCGCTGAACATACATAAAAAAAAATATCGCGACGAATTGATAACCTCCTCCTTTTTTGAAGTCGGTTAAAAAGATAGACATTTCCAGAAAATTCTATGGAGAGACAATATTGATAAGCCAATCCAGACCTACATGGTAAATACTGTCACATACGGAACCACTTCTGTCCCGTTTCTTGCAACTAGGTGTTTAAAACAATTATCATTGGAACATCAGACAAATTTTCAAAATGCATCAAATTCAATAAAAGACGATTTTTATGTAGATGATGTTAACTGGTGCACCTAATGAAGAAGATGCAACAGCTCTCTACAAAGAAATCATTCACATTTTAAACAATTCTTGTTTTGAATTAAGGAAGTGACGATCCAGTCAACCAAATATATTTTCTTCTATACTGATAACTATATCATGCCACAAGATAAATTAGAAAATTCTAAAGTTCTTGGAATGATTTGGGACTTTCAAATATATCACAGATATATGATCCATTAGGACTGTTAGGACCTGTGGTTACCATTGCCAAACTTATTCTTCAGAAACTTTGGAGTTTAAAAATAGACTGGGATGAAAGTCTTCCAAAGGAAGAATATTATCATTGGTATCTTCTATCAAGACAGTTAAATAGTTTAAACAATCTCACTATACCTTAGAAGAATCACAGGATGGTCAGAATACATAGAATTGCAAATTCATGGGTTTTGTGATGCTAGTGAACGAGCATACGGAGCCTGTGTATTTAAGAAGTACAAATTTACAGGAAAACCAACATTCTGCACAACTTTTATGTTCAAAAGGACGAGTCGCTCCAATTAAGTCGACTTCGTTTCCTAGGCTCGAGTTATGTGCAGCAGTATTACTGTCACAATTAGTTATTAAACTGAAGAAGTGTATAAAATTTAAGATTAATTCATTTTATTATTGGACAGATTCTACCATCGTTCTTAGTTGGATAGCAGCTACGCCACAAACATAGAAAACTTTTGTGGCAAACAGGGTAGCAGAAATTCAAACCAACACAAACATTGACGACTGGTCACATGTAAGCAGCAAAGAAAATTCTACAGATGCTATTTCAAGAGGATCATTACTAAAACAATTCCTCAAAAACACACTGTGGTGGTACGGTCCTCCTTGGTTGCAAAAGGATGCTTTAGATTAGCCAAAAGTTAAGACCCATCCAATAGAAACCAGAGTAGAAAAGAGAACAATCAAAGTCTAACAACTGATTTGGAAATTACAAAATATAATATTTTTGAGAAGTATTCTACACTAAGTAAACTCAATCGTGTCACTGCATATTTGTTGCGTTTTAAAAATAAACACAAGGGTCATCTAAGATTGTGGGAGGCGACCGTAAAGTCCTTAAAGCATCATTTAAGACGAATCACAGCAAATGCAGTTATCTCTTACGAAGTGTACCTCACATTTTTAATTCAATCAGAAGGGATTTTAAACTTCAGGCCACTCACTCCTTTGTCCGAGAACCCTGACGATTTTCAAGTTCTTACTCCAGCACATTTCTTGATTGGGGAGATTCTTACAAGCACTCCAGAGCCCAATTACAAAGATGTTCCAATCAATCGTTTAGATCGCTGGAACCACATCCAATATCTCTATCAACATCTGTGGAAAAGATAGTCTTCAGAATATCTCACTCATCTTCAAAATCGATCCAAGTGGAAATCCCAAACGACAAATCTTCAAGAAATCAATGTGTTCTCTTAAAGGAAGATAATCTCCCTCCTCTCCATTGGAAAATGGGTAGAATTGTAGATTTGCACCCAGGCACTGACAAGATAGTACGAGTTGTTTCAGTTAAAACTGCAAATGGACTTTACAAACGTGCAGTTAATAAAGTATGTCTACTGCCTATCGACACCTCTTGAGATTTAGGTCATTAAAATATTTAAAGCTTTTATATCTTAAGACATTTTATGTAAAATATTGTATTATTTTATGTTTTCTTTTATAATACTTTAAAGGTTTTTGTTATTTTGAGGTATTGAAAGTTAATTCTTTCAAGGCTGTCAGTATGTTGCAGATGTGTTGTATTCTTTTTACCTCGATACTTGTTCCGCCACTGAACATAGAGATTGTCATTGATATACAATTTATTACTTTTGCCAAATAAACATCAAATACAGAAAAAAATATATTTTTCCCTTTTTCAGAATACAGTCCATTCGAAACTACAATTTAGGTTGAAACACATTCATCCACTCCGTATATTAAGAAAAAATCGAAGTATGTGGGTCATTATCAATCTGGTCATTGTCAATCTAATTCTCATTCACGCGATCAATTTACAATATCTCGGAAGGGTCAGATGTGAATAAATAAACGTGGCACAACAATTAAGTGAAACGTATTAAATAAAAGAACGAAAATATCAGTTTTCTTTTTTTTTTTAGATAACAAAAATTTTAGTACATCCAAAATACAGAGGAATATCACAGAATTTCGCATCAGATATAGCGCTTTTAATAACAAAAGATAAGTTATTATTTTCCAAGGTTGTACAACCTGTATGCTACCAAAATGTACCTAATATTCATCTAGATAATGGAATGCAAGGAGTGGTAAGTAAATTAAATATATTTTTTTATTAAATGTTGGTTAAGTATACTGTTTTGGAGCAATTAAAAACACGTCGTACCGCAATTATGTATTAAAATATTACCGTTTAGATGATAATAAAAGGGAGTTTTTCGAGTTTTTCTAACCTGTAAGTCAAATAACAAAATCAATAATTTTTTAAATTAATCACAGCATTGCTGACGCCAACATAAATAATCCTATATTCGCAGAGCTGGGTAATTTCATGTACTTTAAAAACAATTACAATTACAAAGTACTTTTTTAAAAAAGGAATTAATTACAAGTACAAAGTACATGTTGTTAAAAAAATAGAAATTATATTGATTTAATTACAATTACATGAAAAACGGAATTACCAATTATTTTTCTAATTACTAATAAAAATTAATAGATATGAATAAAAATTAATAAAAATTAATAGATATGAATAAAAATTAATAAATATGAATAAAAATGAATAAAAATTAATAGATATGAATAAAAATGAATAAAAATGAATAAAAATGAATAAAAATGAATAAAAATGAATAAAAATGAATAAAAATGAATAAAAATGAATACAAATGAATAAAAATAATTAAAAATGAATAAAAATGAATAAAAATGAATAAAAATGAATAAAAATGAATATAAATTAATAAAAATGAATAAAAGTGAATAAAAGTGAATAAAAATGAATAAAAATGAATAAAAATGAATAAAAATGAATAAAAATGAATAAAAATGAATAAAAATGAATAAAAATGAATAAAAATGAATAAAAATGAATAAAAATGAATAAAAATGAATAAAAATGAATAAAAATGAATAAAAATGAATAAAAATGAATAAAAATGAATAAAAATGAATAAAAATTAATAAAAATTAATAAAAAGTAATAAAAATTAATAAAAATTAATAAAAATTAATAAAAATTAATAAAAATTAATAAAAATTAATAAAAATTAATAAAAATTAATAAAAATTAATAAAAATTAATAAAAATTAATAAAAATTAATAAAAATAAATAAAAATGAATAAAAATTAATAAAAATAAATAAAAATTAATAAAAATTAATAAAAATTAATAAAAATTAATAAAAATTAATAAAAATTAATAAAAATTAATAAAAATTAATAAAAATTAATAAAAATTAATAAAAATTAATAAAAATTAATAAAAATTAATAAAAATTAATAAAAATTAATAAAAATTAATAAAAATTAATAAAAATTAATAAAAATTAATAAAAATTAATAAAAATTAATAAAAATTAATAAAAATTAATAAAAATTAATAAAAATTAATAAAAATTAATAAAAATTAATAAAAATTAATAAAAATTAATAAAAATTAATAAAAATTAATAAAAATTAATAAAAATTAATAAAAATTAATAAAAATTAATAAAAATTAATAAAAATTAATAAAAATTAATAAAAATTAATAAAAATTAATAAAAATTAATAAAAATTAATAAAAATTAATAAAAATTAATAAAAATTAATAAAAATTAATAAAAATTAATAAAAATTAATAAAAATTAATAAAAATTAATAAAAATTAATAAAAATTAATAAAAATTAATAAAAATTAATAAAAATTAATAAAAATTAATAAAAATTAATAAAAATTAATAAAAATTAATAAAAATTAATAAAAATTAATAAAAATTAATAAAAATTAATAAAAATTAATAAAAATTAATAAAAATTAATAAAAATTAATAAAAATTAATAAAAATTAATAAAAATTAATAAAAATTAATAAAAATTAATAAAAATTAATAAAAATTAATAAAAATTAATAAAAATTAATAAAAATTAATAAAAATTAATAAAAATTAATAAAAATTAATAAAAATTAATAAAAATTAATAAAAATTAATAAAAATTAATAAAAATTAAAAATTAATAAAAATTAATAAAAATTAATAAAAATTAATAAAAATTAATAAAAATTAATAAAAATTAATAAGAATTAATAAAAATTAATAAAAATTATTAAAAATTAATAAAAATTAATAAAAATTAATAAAAATTATTAAAAATTAATAAAAATTAATAAAAATTAATAAAAATTAATAAAAATTAATAAAAATTAATAAAAATTAATAAAAATTAATAAAAATTAATAAAAATTAATAAAAATTAATAAAAATTAATAAAAATTAATAAAAATTAATAAAAATTAATAAAAATTAATAAAAATTAATAAAAATTAATAAAAATTAATAAAAATTAATAAAAATTAATAAAAATTAATAAAAATTAATAAAAATTAATAAAAATTAATAAAAATTAATAAAAATTAATAAAAATTAATAAAAATTAATAAAAATTAATAAAAATTAATAAAAATTAATAAAAATTAATAAAAATTAATAAAAATTAATAAAAATTAATAAAAATTAATAAAAATTAATAAAAATTAATAAAAATTAATAAAAATTAATAAAAATTAATAAAAATTAATAAAAATTAATAAAAATTAATAAAAATTAATAAAAATTAATAAAAATTAATAAAAATTAATAAAAATTAATAAAAATTAATAAAAATTAATAAAAATTAATAAAATTTAATAAAAATTAATAAAAATTAATGAAAATTAATAAAAATTATTAAAAAATGTATCAAAAGATTAATAAAATTTAATAAAAACTAATAAAATTTAAAAAAATTCCATCGAAGTGGAATCGGGTCAGCTAGTCTTTTATATAATAATAGATTAACAATAAACTAAAGATCATGAAAATAAAATACGCATTTATTTATATAGGTAACTGGTTGGGGCTACACGGACCCATTGAGATTTCCTTCAAACGAGCTTAAAGAAATCCCAATACTATTTAAAAATGATGCTACATGCCTTGCTGAATGGACAGATTTATACTCTACCTATGACAAAATGTGTGCCGTACATTACAATAAAAGTAAGTGTAACTCTTGCAATTAATAAATATCGATTTTCCTAAGTTGAAACGTTGAAACTTAAAAATAATAGTATAATCAGTTCCTATGATCATAAAACAAAATGTCATTAAAAAAATAAATAACTTGGCTTATTATGATTTTCAGTACAAACATTCAATTTAGACATTTTACGATAAACTTTTTATATATAATTTTTCTGAATTGCAAAAATCTATAATTCTGAGTTGGAGTCATAAAAACTTAAAAAGTCTATTTTCCTGAACTGTAATTAAGAAAAGATAAACATTGATTTTTCTCATTTTTACTTTCCTATCTGTATATAGAAAAGGAAAGTATAGTAATCATAATTTTTTTCGACCTCGAGTTTTCGATGGATTATTACGTTTTGAGGTCCCCTGAATCCGTTTCGACCGTAATGGAAAAATTGGAGGAAAAGTGCTAAATTTAAATTTCATAGTATTTTCGTTTTCAATGAATATCTATAGAAAAATGTTTCTATTTAGATGTATGTGGAATAGACTGGGCCAAAAAAATAGAACAATTTTTTTTCTTAGCGGAACTATGAAAATATTGTTCATGACGACAAAAAAAAATTTTCCTGAAAGTTTGAGCCCTTAATAATAATATTAAGAGGTGCATCATTGCAGTTATTGATTTTTCAACAGTTGTCGCGTTTTTGCATAAATTTCGGACTTGGTCAATTTTAAAAACTTTTTTCATCTCTTATCCTTGTAGGAAATTAAATTCCCCACAAAAAAGCTCTAATAGTAAATTTTCGTAAGACGAGTCTATTCTTTGTAATCGAGCCTTAAATATTTTCAATTTTTCACTTTGCATTTGGGATTTCCAAAATGAACTTAAATATTAAGATTACAAAGAATAGACTCGTCTTACAAAAATTTACTAAGAGAGCTTTTTTGTGGGGAATTTAATTTCCTACAAGGATAAGAGATGAAAAAAGTTTTTAAAATTGACCAAGTCCGAAATTTATGCAAAAACGCGACAACTGTTGAAAAATCAATAACTGCAATGATGCACCTCTTAATATTATTAAGGGCTCAAACTTACAGGAAAATTTTTTTTTGTCGTCATGAACAATATTTTCATAGTTCCGCTAAGAAAAAAAATTGTTTTATTTTTTTGGCCCAGTCTAATGTGGAAAATGTATATATTTAGTTTATCTTCTAAACATTTATAAAGGTGCTGCAATAGGAAAGTCATGGTTGGACACATCATATTTTTACTAACGATCTCACTGATGCAATCTCCGAGCAATTACTACTAGAGGGAGTCTTCCCCCCTTCCCCGCGCTAAATTTTGTTAGCAACATCTACTCCCCCCGAGGGGGAAAATACCTCTTCTGTAATTGGCTTATTTAATCAGCGTTGCCAAGTTTGACAGCGCCAGAAAAGTTCTGTGAGCGCCAGTTCTGACACTTTCTGACACATGTCAATTTCTTATTTGTATTTTACGAAAAATATTATTATTTATAACGTTGTAAGGGTTGTAAATGTGGATTTAAGATTTATTATTTCTAATAATATGGTGAAAACATGCTTTATGTGTAAAAGGCCTGTTGAAAATGTTTCTTCAAGATAATATCATAAGTAAGTATAGACACAACCTAATTATCAGAGGCGGTGCATTAGGCAATCACCTTTAATTTGCAATTAAACTTTCTTATTTTCTTATCGAAAAATTAAAATTAAGAGCAAGTACACTCCAGCTAAGTTCGTCTTCATCCGTCTCATAATGATTATAGTAAAGGTTAATTACTTATTATTATTTTAATATCACATCTTTGTAAAGTTTATTGTTATTTTTTTAGGTTTCCTTTTCTTGATATGAGAAAGAAATACATGGTTCCAAAAGATAGGAATTCAACAAGTGACCACCTGAATAACTTTTTATGCTAATGAACATTTTTATTACAGACCTCAGGGAAGGAAAATATTAAAGAGAAATGCAATTTCGACGAAAGAAGTATAATAATCAATCCTGTCACTACTTCTACACTATATTCATCTGCTACTAAAATACTAAAACAGTAAGTAAGTAGAGAAACTTAAGTTTCTTTCAAAAATAATGTTTAAGGAAAAAGGCATAGCTATTTTTTTGTTGACACTTTTTTTTAACTAATCTAAAAGACTAATTTTGTGTATTGCTTAAATGTTCATTTTTTGTACTTAATTTGTTTTAGGTTTAAACAAAATGAACTTCTAAGATATGCATGGAATATCCCAAAAGAGCTAAGGAAGGTTTTAAAATTCTTAAGAAAAGTATTCAGAGCCAAAAATATAAAATAGTCTTCCTGTCCAAAATATAAATAGGTATAAATATTTAGATATGATGAGTGATTTTTTATTCTATAAATAGAACATAATTTGCTTCTAAATAGGATATATTAAGATGTCTTACTGTTTTCTCTGATTATCTAAAAAGTTAGAACAATATACAAAGACTGTTATAACAAAAAAGAGATAACCTTTACTTAAACACACAATTAGTCAGTTCAATTGTACGATAATTTAAAGCAGAAATCCAGAAAACTTTAAAAATGTGTTTAAATGTGTTTTTACTATAACAAGGACATAATTATTTAAAAAACTTGGCACATTAACATTGACAATAGGTTTTTATAATATATATTATAAAAATCACAACGACCTACACAAAATGACATCATTAATAATTTAGCAATAAAAAAGTTAAGTACAATGATGACATTAAAAGTTGAGTTTCTCGAAATACTTTTTTTAAATTGTCTCAGTAACTACCTAGTATTTTTCTAGCACAATGATATTATACGAATGTGCATTGTGTGATATCTTATATTTTAGGAATAAAATTATATATTTTTTGCAGGTTTCTGTTAACAACGATTCCAAGAACGTTTAAAAATATTATTAAAACGGCATTTGCAAATATAATTCTCAATTAAGAGCTTTTGATCTAACATTAAATTTTTATTCTCCATAAGGTTATAGCTTCCTAAGAAGAAAGTTTAACAAGACTTACCAGACTCAAAATATCAAAATTTTACCAACCAATTGATGGTTCTACTGGTTTCCATAGGAAAATTCTCCTCGAAACTACTAAAAGAAAAGTGGCAGAGGCAACCGAAGAAGGCAAAAAAGTCTTTTGCAAAACAAACTAGAAATTTGTTTAAGAATCTAATTATTGTTTGAAGTTTTACCAATGATAATTTTTGATAACGATTTAAGATTATGAAGTTCTATTATGAATTTTACTCTTTGATAACCTATGTTTAAATTTTTATTAGGACCAAAATAAATTATAATTTTCATTTCAACTACAAAAACCCTCATAATATTAAAAAGGGGAAAAACGTTAGATCAGTTATGTTCAGGAATAAACTCTTTAAACATTTATCTACCTAAAATATGTTACTTTTAGAAGGTATGTTATTAACTTTCTATTTGTACTTGTATTAATTCATTTCATTTTATTATCTGTTGTATTTTCAAATTGATTTTGATATTAATCTTATCTATTTATATATTTTTTATACTCACATATATGTTTTTTTATTGAAACAAACGTTTATTAGCTTATTAAATATAATGAATTCATGTTGTTTTATTATATGCTTGTATGAATGATTACTTTTATTTCCTTTTAAAAATGAATTTCGAAGATAAAGCCGAAACGGTGAGTGAGAATAAAAATTAGACGAAAGTGACGATATTTACTGGAGCTTTCATCTACACGCTCCTTTTTCTAGCCATCTACACCTGAGCCAGCAAGATTCGTCTTCCCTCCATCCTTACATTCTCCAGATTTACAGAGAAAACGCCGTCCTCTTTAACATATCCAGACCTTCTTTGACGGGGACTATACCACTACATTATCAGCTTTATTTGTTATCCTGAGCAATTTAAATGCATTCGTAATTGCTCATTCTCACCTCTTCTCTTGTAGACTCCGTACTCAGTTTTCTTATTTTTAGTTACGTTTGCACTGCTCTTTTATTTTCACAGCTTTAATTCTATAATGCTGTAACGCTACAATATGGATCCATTTATGTGGTTTATACTATTTAATGTTATTCGTAAGTGACCAACCTATTATAATAATTAAAGATTATTGTAGTACAGGCCTGAAGATGTTCCTGTAAGGCCGAAACTAGTCGCTCCTGTATTTATAATAAAATTGGTTTTAAGGTTTTATTCTTCAATTGAAAAAATTAGACCTTTACAGTGATTTTGTTTTTTTTCCTGCATTAGACACACATAAGACGGTATTCATTTTAAAAATAGTAAAATTAGCAAAATTTTTAGTTTTTTTTACAATTAAAACGTTTGGACAATGTGTGTTTTTATAGATAAATGATACGCCACTGAACAAGAAGGATGTTTACCTTCCCCCTTGTGCCCGCTTCCTCACTTCCTCTACAGATGTTGCTAACACAACATTCGCCTACAAACTCGTTTCCACGCTCCCTCTATTAGTAATTGCTCGGAGGATGCAATCGTACGTCGTACAGAGAGTTAAAAAATCGTATAAATACGATTTAAATCGTACGGTTGGCAACACTGAGACAGACAGTAGACGTGGATAGCAGTGGACAGTTTGTAAATATAAATGTCAGTTAATTTTATGTATATCGATGAATTTTGAATTTAAATTTAGAGTTTGATTGTGTTATCCTCTAGATAGTCTAGATGAACTAAGCGAAATGGTTGTGGCTATTTTTGTGAGAAATTTGAGGACAATAATTATATTTTGTAATATTACAATAAGTCGGAGAATGTATTGCAATGGTATTGCATTAGAAACACATGCCACATGAATAAAATTAACAACCACGATGTTCTTTAATTATCCAAAGTAAGATTTAGTCATGTAAGTGTACTATATACCTGTTTATTAGTTTATAGTATGTTCTTATCTTATAGTTATAGTACGTTCTAACTCGTATCCATTCAGTTATTACATTTTGTTATTGTCAATTTGTTTGTGTATTTGTTATTGAATTAACGTTTTGAAACCATTTTCTTCTTCGAGCATATATATGCTTAAATATTTTCTTGCTCTAAAACAATAAATAGTAAATAAATACATACTTTGTGACAAAAGTTGGCTATTACTTATGTAACTTACATTACTAGATCTTACTTTGGTTAATTAAAGAACACCACATTGGGATTGTTACATTTATTCATGTGGCATGTGATACTAATGCAATACGTTCTCCGACTTGTAATATTACAAAATATATTTATTGTCTTCAAATTTCACACAAAAACAGCTACAACCATTTCGCTTAGTTCATCTAGAGGATAACACAATCGTGAACTCAAAATTTAAAATTCAAATTCAGGATTCTACGATATACATACAACTAACTGACATTTATATTTACAAACTTTTCGCGTCTACTGTCTGTCTACAACCGACGTGTACCTTCAGTTAACATCTGAGACGCATAGATGACGCCATCGTTACTGCGGTCACTGCGTTTCCTATCTTTATGTCCCTTATCTCTGCCAATAACATTAAAATGAGCTATTTTAGAAAAATGTTGGACACGTCCTATTAGATTTAGTCACATACTTTGATTTTCTTTTACTATACGGAGAATGGTCACACTGCGCAGCTTTCTGAGTGCCTTTTAAAAGGTGATAGAAAACTCCGCTATTTTGAACCCTTATTACGTGTTGCCTACATATTGGCGCAATATTTTTAATAGGTGCGTTTTAATCATCCGCTTCTGCTTCGGAATTGTCAGTTTTCTTGTTTTAATCTGACAGGTTAAAACGACTAAACCGACAATTCCGGAAGCAGAAGCGGATGATTAAAACGCACCTGATATTTTGCTTGCTGCTGTCAGTGTCAGTGAATATTATTTTTGAAGTCACAGTTTATTGCTAAAGAATCAGTTAGCTCACTCGGACCAGTTGAAAGTTCCAAAATAACATCCACTCTAGGGATACAAATTCAGGATACGCAGAAGACTGCTGTTTTATTATAGGCGGTTGTCATATATTGTATTATCCGAGTTGCGCAGTGTATAAACTGAAACATTGAGATCCAAAGTGCCGACGCAGAGTGAGCGATCTGATTCTTTAGCTGTAAACTGTGTCACAGGGTTCAAAATGGCCGCGCCCTATGTTGGGCGTGTCGGACCCTTAGATTATACAAACCTTAGATGAAACATAAGACACTGCGTATAATCCCATTTCGAAATTATTCACACCCACCAATCACAGTTGAGAACATCACATGTCAGAGCGTTGTCGATCCAAATTTAATGTGTCAACGAGAATTAATTTGGTATTTTAGTGACTTAAATTTTGGAAATTAACGTTTAAAATGCCAAGATGTGTTGTAGAAAGCTTTATTTATAATAAAAGTGCGAAATGTGACTGAGATAAAAGAAACTTATATTTATTTCGGTGAGATATTTAATTTTTAAAGATTCTGTCGACGTCCATATTTGTAGATTTGAAAATAAACAGAATAGGACTTGGTCATTGGTACATGTTATAAGTAGCAAATAAAGGTTATTTTTATAAACTGTTTACTATTTCTTGTTTCATGGTGAATCTGTTTTCAGGAAGTGGAAAGAGAAACATACAATCAAATACAAAAATATCAATTTCATTGCCAATTTATTCGTTTCAAACTTCACAACTGGTTTCAATAGTTTTTTCAAAACTATTTATTTAGTATTTCTCTATAACAGGGTTACTCAAAGTGTGCTCCGTGGAGCCTTGGGGCTCCGCAAAGCCTCTGTGAGGACTCCGCGAAGAAAATAATCATAATAAAAAAAACAGTACTATCGCCACAAAATGGAGGGACCTGGGTTGAGGACCTTTTTTTTGAGAAGTAATTTTTTTAAGTCACTAAGAGGAAGGAGAATATGATTTTTGCTTTAGGACTTTTATTTTATTTTTATGGGTGAAATGGATTTGGGATAATTCTTGCAAGGAATCTTTGGAATTAATCAAAAATAAATTAACAACAAATTATGTTCTTATGCATTTTTAGCCTGAGTTGCCGATTAAATTAATCGTAGATGAATCAAATGTGGGAATAAGGGCCATATGTCATGTTTTTTAAAAAAATATTGAGAAATCTATAGCTTCTGCATCGCGTACCTTATCAAAGTCCGAACAAAAATATTCCCAAATTGAAAGAGAAGGCCTTGCAATAATTTTTGGCTTAAATAAATTTAATGAATATTCATATAGACATTTATTTATCCTAGTTACAGATTACTTACCTCTGGTAACTATTTTTAACCCAGCCAAAGGTATACCCCAATTTTCAGCCAACAGACTACGTAGATGGGCAGTAATATTGTCAAATTACAATTATAAAATTGAATATGTAAAATCGGAGCATAATATAAAGCCGATTTTTTATCACGTTTACCTTGAAAGTTAAAATGAGAGTCAAATTGAAGAAAAAAATTTGAAAAATATTTTTTAAATTATGTGTTTAATTTGTTGAGGGCCCCGTCAAATATTTCGCTTTTCAAAAAGGTTCCGTCCCCAAAAAAGTTTGAGAAACACTGCTCTATAATAATATGGGATCTATCCATTTAATTACATTTTATTTTCTCTAATTTTGACATATAAAGTAATATATTTTATAAAGTAGAATTATGCAACTGATTACGAAAAGTTGATTACGTCACCAGTTACGAAATGAAAATAAATAAAACTGCCTCTTTTTTGGTTGTTAAGTCGAAAAATCGAGAAATCGAGTAATCGAAAAATCTAAAAATCGAAAAATAAAAAATCGAAAAATCCAAAAATCGAAAAAACCAAATATCGAAAAAAAGGCCGATAATAGTGACATTTCACATTTGAAAATATGACATTACGTTTAACAACAAAAAAGAAAAGCTTTAAATTGCGTTTTATTTTTTAAATAATTGAACACCGTTATTGAAAATTGCCCAGAAATGTTGGGGGTAAAATTTTGACGTACTCCTTTAAGGATAATGGGTAAAAATGTTTTTTTTTCAAATTTCTCGCGGGTAATGTCAAAAATCAGATCGACAACACTGCACATGTTCATTATTTTTATTATTATTGAAAAAAAGAAAACGTCGTAGGGCAATCAAATACAACAATTTTCTGAAATATTTGATTGGAAGTACCTACAAAAGAATGCTGGTGAATTATTTTTCAACACAATTTTATAAATAATCAAGACAAAATTAGAAAAAATCTTGTATGTAAACACGTTACCAAATGCCGTTTTGTGTAACTCGTTCATTTTGCAGGACCTCGCTCCGCTCGTCCCGCAAATATTTACTCGTTACACAAAATAAGGCATTTCGTAACTGGTTACATAAATAGCTATTAATTGACTTCCTAATATTTTAAATCATTGAACGGTATTTTCCGTAAATAATTAAATCATAAATAATTACCGGTATATAAGTACCAAAACATTTTTTTTTCTTCGAAGAATAGGCTTATGTCAAATAAACTTAAAACATAACGAACGAAAAGGTAACCCATTTCTAATAAAATTTAATTATTTATTTTATTTTGGTGTGATCGTAGAAAAAATCTTGTGTGTAATTCGGCAAAAAGTACTTTGGCTGTTTCGATAACTTTTTGTCTCAACAGCTATTTTGTTACAATAATTTTATAAACTTCTACTTAGGGTCGATTTCACCGTTTTGTTAAACGAAGTTTAAAATACTAAACGAAGATTAAAATGACATTTTTATATTAACAAAAATAAAGTTTAAATTACTAAATGGAGTTTAAAATGACATTTTTACATTAACAATATCATTTTAATCTTCACTTAGTAATTTAAACTTCGTTTGACACAACGGTGGAATCGCCCCTTAGCTAGTTATATATTGATAAAGTGTTATTGCCCTCATCATAAATGAATCGTGCTGACAAATAAAGTCAAAAAAACGTGTTATAATTTTTCATCTTTTAGTTACCTACCAAAATTAGGTACTACAATACAAATATTTAAGTCCGGCCCAGAACATCTCCCTACTCCTTCCACCCAGTTTTTCGGTTTTGGCAAAATTCGCGCAGTGACAAATGCTCCCTATGTTACCTCTACCCTTTCTAACCTCTTTGGTCGGACCTCTCTCTTGCCTCGTATAGTAATCAAAGTATGTGGATTTAGTGTATCGATATGTCAAATTTATTTACATAATCGTTTGTCATTAAGGCACAAATTACATCACATTAATATAGTGTATAATAAAGTTATTAATAATAAATAACTAGTAAATGTTTCAGTTCTGTTTTGTTTTTTCAGGCATAGGCATAGGAGGCATTGGTGGGGGCTTGGTGTTCCCAAATCATGGGAAATATTATATTCACGGCATAGTCGCAGCCGGCGTCGCTGAAAAAAACGGCACAGGCGGCTGTAATGTCGTATTTGGTTCGCTGTATACGAAAATTTCTGCGCACTACGATTGGTTGGAACGAGTCGTGGCTAAATATAAATAAACTTAATTGTACGCCTGACATGGAATAAAATATTGTTCTACGTTTTAAATTTATTTATTTATTTTCAATATCCTCTTTCCAATTTCGAGAAATAACTGTCTGCGACACACCGCGTATACCCAGTGGTTTAAACTTTATGTCCCCCGAGACTCTTCTCACGTGATACTGTTGTAACATTTTAAAATGTTATTTTGAATGTGTGACATCCTGTATAAAATTGGTAATAAAATAATTTTAAATTTAATTATCGCCGCAGGCAATATTCCTGAGAGAAGGAAACTTCGCGAAGTGGGAGTTTTATTTGGTCAGTTGATATCGGGCCTTTTCTAGAAATTCATTTTAACATCATATTGTCACAAACAGGGGCGTGCCGTCCATGGGTGCAATGTGTGCGGCTAAAATTTAGGGCACAGCAATGGTCCCTTCTTGCCGAAAGCGCGCACCGACTAGACTGGCAAAAAAGAAAGGCGGTAGCTTTATATTGTAATAAAAATGTCATTAAAACGGCTGCCGGCCGCGGCAAGGAGCGGAGGTAATTTGCCCACAAAGTATTTAAAGCTGCTAATTCCATAGGTAATTTGCCCACAGCAAGTAAAAGGTCATCTTAATCCTGTTGGTATTTTGCCCAAATTTATTTCTAACTGAATAAATCATAATAGATATATCTTTCATTTATTATTTTTTATATATTATCGAAAAGTAAAAACACATTATTAATTAAACTAAAAATTATATTAAACACTAATTTTTATTATTATAAAAAAGTAAGTATACATAAGTTATATTATATTTTTTATATATTTATATTTTATTTACATATTATACTCTAATCTGCTGATTTGCTGCAGATCAAATCGCTGTATAAATTTTTCTAAACACTGAATTTTTTGTTTTACACTTTTGTCTTTGATTTTCTTAGGTATACTTAAGCTTTGTATTGTGACATACGTGTCGATTTGAAAGTCTTTAAGCTTTTCTATAAAAATATATACAGAAGGATGTGTACAGTAGAATGAAGAATTAAACCTTGAATGAAACAACTCACAGGCATTTGTAGTTCTTGTAATTGAAGCTGTTTTTTCTGCCCATATACTTGGAGGAAATGTAGAATTTTCTTCAATATATGTTTCTAATAGGTAATCGGCATACCTATCGAGAACGGCATTTTCTGGTTTACTTGCCATTAAGTCAAACACAAAACAGTCTCCAACTTCATCGGCGTTTAAATATGTCAACCCAAATTATGTTTTAAGCCATTTTCCGGTATCACTGTTAGTTGTATATTCAGTCATTAATCCCAGAGACTGAATTTTACGATACCACGCTTGATGTAGATGAAATCGGCAGCCATTGATTACAGTATTAGGCCACATATAAATTAACGCCTTATGAATTGCTATTTCAAAATCAACGAACACTTTAGATGGATTTAAAGCAATACTGTAAGTTTCCAAAATTTTATAATGCAATAACGGAAACAAATGTTTGTATATATCGGTAGATTTGTTTGGTAATAAACAATATACCAGGGGCACATAGTGTCCATTACACAGCCCATGAATGGTAAATAATTGTAGGAAAAACTTTGTACAATACGAAAATGTTCCATCCATATACAAGACGTTCATTTTACACAAAGTACGAATATTTGTCTCACATGTAAATACAATAATATTATTTTCTCTGCTATTTATTAAAAGAAAATGTTCACCTTTACTGGTTTTAAATGTATTAGAATATAAGTCAACTGCATCATGCACTTCTTGTATATTTGTAGGTAATGGACCTGGTAGTATTTTGCGACGACTGTTGTATATAGTTTTTCTTATGTAGGACACATCAATTGTAGTTAGTGACTCTGGTAAATTAGTAGTAAGTACTTTACGGATAATTTTAGAAGGTTTTTCCGAAATATCATCAACGGCTTTTCGCTTACACGAATTAGAAATAATTTTCCTGTTTAATTTCGGTTCATTTGCTTCATGGCTATGAATTAGGTTGCCTCTTGATACTAAAAGTTCAGGACCAATTGTAAATACAGTGGCATTACAAGCATTTGTTTTTCTTTGGGAGCATCTCCAAGAAACTTCTCCACTTTTCATTTCTCTATCTTTGGCAAACGTAAAATTCTCCAAAAGGAGTACATCTTTCCCGCGTGTGCTTTTAATCAATGTAGCTGACATTATAGAAATAATTATTGTTTATAAACACTCGAATTACAATCATCAACGTATAAAAACTGATTGAAATATAAACAGTAAACACCCAAAGTAAGTACCTATTAGAATTATTAATAATCAGGTAGGTACCTATTTGTGGGAGGATGTAATTTGCGGGTTTAGGTACCTGAATGCTACTGTGGGCAAAATACCAGTAAGATTAACGCACCCCTTTACTTACACAGGTAGAAAACAGAGATTTGTGGGCAAAAAGGACCCGCCGGCGGCAAGATATGACTCTTTAATTACCCACTTCACTTATCCACAAACCACAAACGACCGGCCGGCGATAGTCTAGTAATGGTCAAAGTCAAAAACAGGCGACTGCCGACGCTTTGATAGCGTTCGTTAGGCGGCCGCATCAAATGGTGCGGTGGACAAAATATGAGAACATTATTATTTTTTATCATTTCAAAATGGTAATGTTTACTTTGTCGCCTACCCCTACCTACATTAAAAATAATATAAAAGAAAAGGTTCATCAAAATCAAAGACATTTGTAATGTCTTTGATCAAAATGCATCTGCATTACTATTGTTTTCTTCATCTCAATAACATAAGTAATATTTATTTACTTAACTGATTTGATTTCTATTTCTGATTTTGATTTGATTGATAATTGATAACTGATATTGTATTTGTATTGTATCTTATGTAATGCGATCGTGAAAAGTGAAGACTGTGCCTATGAAAGATGGTAAGTAATTGTAATGGGCCCGTTCACTTTCATTTTTGAATGTGAATTAATTATATATTTATAAAGATATTAAACTCTTTTGTCTGGTGGTACTTTTCCCGTTAAGATATTTTTGCTAGAAGTAAGGGAATTCCCATAAAATTCTTTCAGTGACTCATTGCGTCAGAAAATCCCTAATTCCGTTCACGTCTCGTATCGGTTATGCTTAAAGACGGCGGGGTTGTCGGAAGTATCCTAATATAGCATTTCTGCATTTTTATATGTAATTTAAATAGTAAAATTCCATTATTTTTCTAAAAATCATGAACTTATATTTTCAGATTTAAAGCTGGGAGCTTATTTTTTACTTTTTAATTAAAACAATTAATATTACTCAGGCTGAAAATTAACCAGACCATAATCAAAAAGTAGAAATTTGATTTGCAATATTTATCTGGTAAACGTGGCAACGTTACATTTATTTCTAGAAGTGTGTGTAGACAACACTATTTAGAAGTACTTACAACGTTGTCACGTTTACCAGATACATTTTCTCAAATAAAATTTCGATCTGGTAATATTCAGCTTGAGTAATACTAATTGTTTTTATTAAAATTTAAAAAAGGTAAGGCTTCCAGCTTTATCTGAAAATATAAACACATTATTTTTAAAAAATAATATATTTTTATCATGTAAATTTCTTTAATAAATGCAGAAGAGGAATGGTGGTGCTATGATACATCCGACAACCGCGCCCTTTTAACTATTAACCGATACGAGACCTGAGGGGAATTAGGGGTTTTCTGACGCAATGAGTCACTGAAAGAATTTTATGGGAATTCCCTTACTTCTAGCAAAAATATCTTAACGGGAAAAGTACCACCAGACAAAAGAGTTTAATATATTTATAAATATATAATTAATTCACATTCAAAAATGAAAGTATACGGGCCCATTAATTAGTATTATTAACAATTTTATTTATATTCTATTTTTATTTTTGTTATTATTCAGTAAAATTTAATATAATAACTAACCATTCTTAAGATTTTTTATTTTTGATTTTTGGCATAATAAATATTATTGAAAATTGAAACTTAATTTAATTTCAAACAAATTAATAATCAATTTAGTGTAGGTAGGTATATTAATTCTTATTTTAACCTATATAAATTTTTATATTTTGACTGAGGAATATAGGAATAATAGATTAATAAATATTTATGTATGTGTGTTTATTATATTCGCACAGGGCCGAATAGAGGGGGGGGGGTAGCCGGGAGCAATTCCCGGGGGCCGGGGCTAAATGGAGGCCCGGTAGCGCTGTAAGGGGGGCGCGACAGCAGCATTTTTTGTTCTACATGAGAAATTCGACACAAGATTAGAGTGGGAAGTTACATTTCGGTTGAGGATTTTTTTTTAGAAGAAGAAGAGATTGAGATAGGGAGAATAGGTTTTTGATGTGAGGACCTTTTTTTTTAGTAATTGAAGTAGGGAGAAAAATTCTATAATTCTATTTCAGTAGAAGAAGAACAGTTTTTGGTTAAGTTTTTCTTATCACGGGGCCCGATCTAGACATTGTTTTGGGGCCCAGCCTGGCTCTCAGCGGCCCTGTATTCGCATGTTAGAAACAAATACTGTTAACTTTTACTTTTAATTTTATGACAATATTGGCATAAACAATTTCAATAGTAGAATAGTATTTTTTAATATACCCAGGCAGCACACTTTAGTATAAATTACGTATTTTTTTAGGTACTACCATACGTATGAATACGGTTGATGTACTACCAAATATATTCGTGAAAATGTCCGCCTTATAAACGTCGATTACTAAGAATTTATCGACCTATAATTAAACGTTTTTACTATACGTCTATATTAGATTTATAGTTGTAGTATATTTATACGAATTCACTTTGGTATAAAATACGTTTATTTATGTACTACAATATACGTATGGATACTGTTGATATGCTACCCAATATATACGTATATTTTTTTTATTTTTTATACGTCTAACATTACTACTTTATCTACCTTTAATTATCCTGTTTTACTATACGTCTATATTAGATATATTTGTATGATTTTTATTAATGTGTAAAATGCGTATTTCAAACACAAATTAAATAAAGTTATCAAAACAAAAT